GGCCGGGGCTGGGGGTGGAGCAGCGCCCCAGGGGGAGGGCAGTTGCCGGGGCAAGGCCGTGCGGGGAGCCGGCAAACGGGAGGGCACCACATTTCCGGGGCGGTGGGAGGTGCCCGCCGGAGCCTGGCGCCGGGAGCGGGGCCGCGGGCGCGCTCACCCCGCTGCGCTCCCCTCTGCCCTCAGGGTAGCCGGCAGCTGCAGGAGAAATCCCTGAAAATCTCCTCTACGCTGTATGTTGGCAACTTGTCCTTCTACACCACCGAGGAGCAGATCCAGGAGCTCTTTTCCAAGTGCGGAGATGTCAAGAGGATTGTCATGGGGCTGGACAAGATCAAGAAAACCCCCTGCGGCTTCTGCTTTGTGGAGTATCCTTTCTGGTTCCCTCCTACTTATCAGCACATGTGTAGTTGCCACCTTTAGTTCCTCAGCACAGCAAGCTTAGCTGTACCACTGTGGAAGACCTGAAAAGGAGTGATAGTCGAGTGCTTTCTACCAGGTGCTTCCCTTCCAACCTTACTGCTTCACCGTCACCACCTTAATTGAGAGACAGACTGTACTGTGGTGCTGTAGGTGAAAAGTGCCACCACTGCTGTACTTCCTGGAGGTAGCAGAGATCTCCTTTAATTTGTTAATTCCTTTAATGATTTTTAGGGCCAAAATGAGAACTGTTACAGTCATCGATCAGAGCTCTTGCATAGCCAGAGCACACGTTCGCTTTCTCACCTTAACTTCACACCTGAATGAAGCAGCAGAATAAGCCATGGCAGTATTCCCACGCACAGGGTACACGCTTGTACAAGTTGCACCATGAACTGTCTTTGCAAAGCTCTGCTGTGAGGCATGCCCCTCTTGTTCAAATGCAGTCAAGTTTCAGGTAGTATAAAAGGCATATTACAGATTTCTTGCCCTTAGCAAGCCTTTAACGTGTTTGTTTCATCTACTTGTGAAATAAGTGATCCGAAGCTACTTCTTGTCTGTGCAGGTTCTAACATTAAAGTTCAGGATCCTTTCGGAGCGGGAGCTGGTTTTAGCTTCGATTTATATGAATGTAGTTTTTGATCCCATAGCAGGAAGAGTAGAAAAGGCTACTTTCAAGGCAGAGTTTACTTCTTCTCAGACACAGTAGTTCTCGTTTTCATTTTCCCTTTACCCAAGAAAACAGCATGCTTAGTTCTCCTTATAGCGTGTGTCAGATATTACACAAGAGCAGACGCTGAGCACGCAATGCGATTTATCAACGGCACGCGACTAGACGACCGCATCATTCGAACCGACTGGGATGCAGGGTTTAAGGAGGGGAGACAGTATGGAAGAGGAAAGACTGGAGGACAGGTAAAGGCAATACCTTTCACACCTTGAATTTGAGCCCTCTAAGACCATGTACTGCTTTGCTAGTTTTGTCTCATGCAGAACAATGTGTAGACTGTAAAGGCCTGATCATGAACTTTAGCCACTCCTAGGTTGTTTTGGTAACTGAAGCTTGGTGTTAAAAGCTAGAAATAGAACTTAAGACCATTTCTGTCTAGGACTCCAAACTTCCTGCAGTCCAAGTAGAATGTTCCCTAATCCCAGCTAATACTCTTGAAATTATGCAAAACTTGAATAGAGTGGGACAGTGTAGCTGCTAGCCCAATCTCATCGTGCAGTTGTTTGCCCCATTGCGAGGGTGAAGTTCCTTTGCAGATTTCCAGGGTGGAGGGAGAAAATGTTCACAAAGCTGAATGAAAATATTTTGGAGTCATTTTCGTTTCTTGTCTAAAAAGACCTCAGCCATCAAATATGTCCTCATTTGTCATTTTCACCACCATTAGCACCTTTATTGGATTATTTGAAGAGCTCTCAAACAAGTCAAAGTGCTTCTACCCTGAACTTCAGTTCCCCACCAGCTGAGCAAGGAGGGGATGATGATCCTGAAGTCTGGCAGGAGACAGGGAGTACAGGGTACTAATATCTGTGTTACTACTGTGCCTCAGGTGCGAGATGAGTACCGGACAGACTACGATGTGGGAAGAGGTGGCTTTGGCAAGATCATTCAGATGCAGAAGGCAAATCATCAGCCTGCGATCTATTAATTGCCTCATGGGTCCTAGCTTGTAGAGGGCTGTGTCCTTCCGGAGCTAGCCCTGTTCTTGCATTTTGGATTGAGGTAGGGAGTGAGATCCAAGTTCCAGCAAAAGGTGACCCTCCTTAGACTGTGGATATACATGTATTCGTTCCCCCTTCCTTCTGGGCTAGAGAGGATGTTCTGTGCTGATACAGGGCAACAAGGGGGAAAAAATTAAAAAATGGACCGCTCTGCAGGATTCTGGGTAAGAAGAAATGCAGCATGTCACACACACACCTCGTGCTATGGCATACTCTTCATGCTGCAGCTAAGCAAGTGGCTTCCTCCAAGCTGTGACTGCAGCCATGGTTGCTTTCAAATGGAACTTTTTAAAAGCTTACCACCATCGGAGCCCTCCAGGTGCCTGGGCACCTTGTGGGGATGCACAAGAGATTCAGGTTTCTAATTTACAACCTCATCTGCTTACGAAGCAGTATCGCTGTTTGGATGAGAGAAGTGGAACAAGGTCTTATCATCCACTTGGAGGTGCTTGTCTGCACATCTAGCCCTTGGGTTGGTCAGGGCCTGCAGAGCATTTCTCTTTATGATGCCCCCAGTGCTGCCTGGCTTTTAAGATCCTCACTGTTCAGCGTTATTTTGTTGAAAATGTCTTTTAATTTTTTAAATAAACAATTGTATTGGGTCTGTCTGAGATGGAGTTAATTTTGCCCCTAGTAGCCCACAGTGCTGTGCTGTGTATTGGTAGCTAGAAAGGTGTTGGTGACACACCGGTGGTGTTATGGCTGTGGCTGAGCAGGGCTCCCACAGCACCAAGGCTGGCTCTCCAACATTTCCCCATCATCACCACCGGCTTGGGGTGGGCATCAGCTCGGGGTGGGCAAGAACTTGGGAGGGGACATAGCCAGGACAGCTGGCCCAGACTGACCAAAGGGATATTCCACACTGTATGGCATCTGCTCAGCAGTAACAGCTCAGAGAAGGCGCAACGGGTGGGGGGAGGCACTCGTTATTACAACGTTTGTCTTCTGGAGCAACTGCTATGCGTGCTGAAGCCCTGCTTCCCAGGAAGTGGGTGGACGTTGCCTGCTGATGGGAAGTAGAGAATAAATCTTTTGTTTTCCTTTGCTTCCATGCACAGCCTTGCTTTTGCTTTATTAAACTGTCTTTATCTTGACCCATGAGTTCTTTTCCATCTTACTTTCTCCCCGCCATCCTGCTGAGGAGGGGAGGGATAGAGCGGCTTGGTGGGCACCTGGCATCCAGCCAAGGTCAGCCCACAACAACAGTGAGTCCTGTGCCTGTTGCAGTTTGTGCATCAAAACCACTTGCTCTGTGACACGAACTGGGGAGGACCACCTCCTGTTGGTGTCTTAAAGCTGCTGTCACTTGCAGACACAAAGATGGACGCTAAAGGGAGCATGAGTCTCGCTGTGTTTCTCTTGGCTTCCATCTTGGTGCCAGCTTTTCCTCCTCTTTCTATTTTGCAATAGCTGATGGCTGATGTCAGAAGGAAGTTCCTTATAAAGTGTACAGCTGCTCTAAATGAGAGGAGTCCTTATCTTTCACATCAGCAGGTTCCAGAAGAGCTTTCCTGTCCTGTCACTTGTTCCACAGTCAGAGGAGTGTATAAAGCAAAACAAAGGCCCAGTGTGCACTTCAGAGAGGAAGGAACCAGGAGCTCCTTACCTTGTTTTTATGACAGGCTTTCTTCCCATTTTAAGAGCACTGCTGACACTCTCTAGCCTGTTCTTAGGGTCTGAACAAGGGACCAGAGGAGATTTCTGATCTATCCCCAAGAACCTCTCAGCTAGGGCAGGTGATTCCACTGAACAAGTTAAATTCTGTCTGTAAATTGGGTTTGTATTATGTAAATAATGGCAGCTGTTCCCTGCCCAGTAATGTGTAATCATGATTTTTCATGCATTATCTCATCCAAGGTAATAGAAACTGTTGCACACCCATCTGCAGACCAGGCACGCAATTTAAATTAGTTTAACAGTCACGTTGCCCTGAAGTCTTGAGAACTAAGTGAGGGGGGGTGTTACATTTAGTTTGCTGAAGTGTCTGCTACCTGTTTGTTCTGCAAGTCAGGTTGCTGTGCCCGTAAAACTGTCACGGGTCTTGAAGGAACTGTATGTTTAGTCTTCAGTAGGTTTAAGCAGTGACAGCATCGAGAAGCCTGTGATGAGGACTGACCCTGAGATGCAGTGAAAAGAGCAGGACATTGACATAAGAGCGAAAAATACAAGCAGTCATCTGGCCAGCCTGGCAAAGCAGCATCACTGTGGGGTCCCTTGGGGAGAATATGAATTGCAGAGGGAATAATTGCCTGAGCAAACACAGCAGGGAAATGGGAAAACTTAAGGAGGATGGGGAGAGATACCAGCCTGAAACTCTAGATTAGCAAAGGAATCTCTTGTGCATGAGGTAAGGAAACATAAGGCAAGCTTCCAGTTCGCTCCTGGAAGAGCCTGGTGTGGCTTGTTGGACACATCAGTCCTGTTTATGTGACAGAACACGCAGAAATCTGTTCAGTCAGGTGCCTGAGGTGTTTTATAACTGCAGAAGGCATCAATCCCTGTTTTTGTAAGATACTGTGATTTCAGCTCTGCACAGGTCTCCCTGTCCTACTCACTTCAGTCTGGAGGAAAAGCGTCTCCTTTAGCAAGTCCCAAAGCAACGCTAGCAATCTATGCACCGTTCCTCTTTCAACATAACCTTTGCAAAGAGATTTGTGCTGACTTCTCTTCCAATACATGTGTTTGCCTGAAAGAATCCACTTCAAATACTACAGCTGCAGTAAATGTCAGGATCCCTTCCTTCTACAGCAATCCCAAACAGAACCAAAGAGACATGAGAAAGTTTACAAGTCAGTAGGTGCTCCCAGCTCACGGCCCGTGCTGCCACATGTAGGTACCCACGTGGCACCATGCTGCATCACTCAGAAGAGGTGTCCTTGCCCAAGCACAGCGGCTGCCAGGGTCCTGTAGCAGCTTGTCCTGTCCTGGCCAGGCTCCTGACCGTGGCACTCTCTGTGCCCAGAAGACTCAGGCTCCAGGGCTGCCTTCCAGACACCTTTCATCAGCACACAAAGGTCCTATTAGGAGAGAAAACCTTTTGTCCTTACATTGCTGGGGCAGTGCCAAGCTGGATAGTGCAGCCAACAGACCGAGAGACCTGATGAGACCCAAGAGAAACCAGGTACAGCTTAGCAGCAAGCATGTGGCTGCCTCTGCAAGTTGTGAGCAGATAACAGGCTGGAAACAGAGGACACATTCCCTGGCCGACAGCCAAGCTCTTTCTGTAAAGAAACTTGATGCTCAGTTCATGTCAGCACCAAGGAGCTTAAATCACCCTTCAGGCTTCCTGTGGAATCAGGACTTGGACTCCAGTGAGTTTCTGCTGGATGCCTCTGGAAACTCTCTTCCTCCCTGACAGAGAACAGAATAAATTGGAATGGTTTTGCCAGGAAATGTGGCTCCTCCTCAGGCTCCTTGGCCATGATCTCAGTCAAGAACACCACACTCAAAGCCTTCTGCACTGGGAAGGGGAAGAGGCAGGCTGTGGTTCTCATTCAGTGTGACAGCTTTTAGAGTCCCCTTTGATGTAGTAACAAATCTGAGCAAACTTTAGAGCAGCCAGACAAACAGCAACATTATAGTCATGGTGCTCCCCAGCCACTTAGAGCCACTGGTGTCCTGAGAAGACCCTGATTACCTTCCTTTCCCATTTGTATCATACAGGCTCCCACACTTTGTCATGCACCCCAGAGCCAGACGCAGCAGGCCTGGCATTGCAGTGTTGGTAGATGAGGTCAACCATCTCATCCTCCAGCCCACAGATGGGGTAAACCAGCTCACCCAGACAGTCACTGTCAAACCCTGAGAAATGAATCCAGAGCTGCCATCAGCTTCATGTGCGGGCACGGGTGTAGCCTGCACAGCTCCAAAAGGACATAGTCATAGGACACGCTGACCAGGTTGGGGCCCAGATCCAGCCCGTGGGCTCCTGCGTGCACTGAGCCCAGCGCATTCCCAACCTCCCCATCCCATTGCCAGCGCCCTGCGCCAGTGTCAGGAAACACACCTTGATCTTCTCGGCCCCCTTCATGTAGTCTTTGCTGTCATGAATGAGGTGGGCAGCAGTGAGGACGTGCCACTCAGCAGACCCATGCAGCCTGTGGAGATCTTGATGGTGGCAGAGAAGGGGTAGTTCATCAGGAAGTGGTGCCTTCTGATGGAGAACCGCGTGTCTTCACCGTAAATCTGCCGCTTGAGTCACACACGCTGCCTCTGCTGTCTCTGTACCATTTGCCCAGTGGCTCACTTCCACCTTCCTCATTTTGCCGTTGGGATACACTGTCTTGTAAGAGAAATACTCCTGGAAGTCCTGAGAGACCACGGTGGCCTCCCACTGGGTGTGGGCATCATCACAGTATGTTGTCAGGCCCAAGACAGGCTGTGACAGGAACCAGTCTTTGGCTAGTTGCAGAGTGAACAAGGGAATAAAAGCAGGAAGCAGATCACTAGCTGCAGAACTGGGAAGAAAGGAGAGCAAGAGAAGAGCAACCACCTGGCAGCAAGTCATTGTGCCAGACCTGCAAAGGCAAAGCAAGGAGAGATTAAGCCTGCATGATTAGAGAGCCGGCCACCTGCCGCAGCTCAGGGCTGCGAGGATTATCAGATGCACGCAGCCTCTTGCCAGCTACTGGGTTGTGCATGCTTAAGCTGTTACCACAGAAAGCAGAAGGGTTGGGACCTGCCTGGAGCCGGGTGAGTAAGTAGTGATAGAAATCTCACCCAGCACCAGCTTTGATCTGCTGGAGCTCTTCTGGACAGTGAGGCCCTGCAGCGCAACCCAGCACTGCTGCAGAAATATCACAAGCTGATGGGTTT